ATGGCCAATGCTGTGGATTTTAAAATGAATTCAGACTGGAAAGTGTTCTTAAATGACGAAACAAGCGAGCCCTTCGCTACCATTCACGGTAACTTCATGATATCACAGTGCACACATTATTGCATTACATTCGGGTCTGTCAGAATGAATGGTGGCAAGAACTTGCCGCTTCAGTTGCAGAGCGAAAATTGTGGACCATTCGCGGTCCATGTGAAACGAAACTACCATTAGCGACGGTTGTGAACAGAGCTATTGGAGCGAACGGAACGATTTTATTCGCTGCAATCACGGCATGTGAAACAGCCTTAACGCATCAGCGCGAAATGCAGCATGTCGCATTTCGCGCCGGTTGCCGTCGGGCCGCGCCGACGGACGCTGGTCGCGCCTGGTGTCAGACGTTGTGTCGCTGTGCCCAGCGTGCGCGTGCGTCAACGCAACACTAGAGTATATTGGGCCCTACATGATGTGCTCGCGGCCGTTTTGCTAGCTCCACATATACAAATTTTCGTGTTACGTGACGTCGCCAGATGACGAAATATATGACCGGTGCAAACATGATAATCCTGACACGCGTGTTATGTAAGAACATGACAACCTACTAGGCTCATAGCGTGCTCGTGGCCATTTCACTAGCTTTACACATACTAAATTTGGTATCACGAGACGTGAATAGATGACGAAGGTAAACGACACACCCAAACATGATATTCATGACACGGAAGTCATGTACGGCATCATTTGCCTCCACATCGTAACGTTGTGCTCATTTTAAAGTGACATATCAACATGTCTCTCTTCGTGCTTTTCATACTATTCATTCCCACTGTACGTGAGATCTGCCAATTTTTTCCCCGAAGCTGCAGACCGAAGTTGATTAACATCTATAGTTACCCCAATAGTAGTGTAGCTTCGAATAGTGTTATCTGACCAAATATTAAGGGCATGTTTTTTTTCTTTTTTTTCCTCGCTGATCGCTTTTGTAAGCAACTTCACACGAGAACAGGCGCTGTTCATAGGTGGTGCATCCGAGTGAGAATTGTGTATGCCGCAAAAGTATAGGCATCCGGCAGCGTGAGCAGCTTGCTATCATGCACGTAACTTCACCACCCTGCGCTTGCAGGTGCGCCAAGCGTTGCGTAAAAGTGGCTCATTGCGCGCCTGCTGAGGGTGGCGGTGGGAGGACGGGCACGCGGCTAAGCTGACACGACTAACATGCATGAAAAAAGTGTTTCTTACCAGTCAACTGTTATACAAATCGATTCATCTGCGACAAAAGAAATCGTAACAAATAGGCAGACACTTGCAATAGAATCAACCTAAACTTTTTATTGTCAGACTGGGCCGTATAGCATAGCCGACTCTCAAATGTCTGATGTTAACCGACATACTTGTAGTGGCATATGCAGGTTTGATTACAGGTAAGAAGTTTTCTCTCCACATCAAACCTGGCTCGGACAAAATTATTCTTTATATCACACGAAGAGGGTTCAGAGAAAGTCAATCGCATAGCTAGTTTAACGGTCAAGTGCCAATACTGTCTTTGTGAATGTTGAAGGTAATTGTACTTCTGTTTCAGCCAAAAGATTTTTTTATAAAACCGAAGCATTTAAATTTTTAGTAACGTTACTCAATATTTAGACAACTCGTGAAAAATTTCACTTGAAAACTTTCTTTGTTTTATGTATGATGAAGTTTAGCGTAGCCTAAAATAACACTGACGCACTTCGTACAAAACCATTACCAATTTTGCTTGTTCAGATATTTATTTTTACAGTTCTTATTCGATGGAGAGGCTATGACAGCGCAGATACCCTTGCTCATACAGCCTGATTATATAAAACAGTGTATACGAACAGAGACACAACAAATAAGTTTACAAACACTTCATCAAATAAAACAAAGCACAGGCCACACTCTTACTTCGAAATGGAAGGGAATGGAAGTTTGAAGATCAAGCGATTTGAACGTACATAAACGACTGAGCGCTAGAATTTGTGTAACTAGTATCTCCACAAAGTGAACTCCACAAAAAATGTTGTTCATGCACAAAAATAAATTTTTCCGTAAGCTGCACACTAGGAGAACGGAAGTGTATTCCTATTTAGCAAGCCTCTGTGCTTACGTAAATATCCTATGAATGAAGGTATTGTGAAGGAATGGTAAAATGGTTATGACAGGAAAAAAAATTGGCAGATTCCACGTACAGTGGGAATCGATGATATGCGAACCACGTATGAGGAAGGTTACGTCACCTTAAAATCAGCACAACGTTGCGAGGTGGACGTAAATCAAGCCGTACATGACTTCCATATCAAGATTATCATGTTTGGGCGTATCATTTACCTTCATCGTATGTTCAAGTCACGCCATACCAAATTTGATATATGAGGAGCTAGCGGAACGGCCGCGAGCGTGCTATTGACCCTAGCATGTAGTCATACTTTGCATGACGAGCATGTTATGATTATCATACTTCGACATGTCATTTACGTTCGCCGTTCATTGACGTCCGTCCAGCGTGGTACGTTGTCATGTTCTTACATGGCACGCATGTCATGATTATCATGTTTGCACCAGTCAGGTATATTTGTCATCCATTCACATCGCGAAACAGCAACATTAGTATATGTGAAGATTGCAAGCCCATCATGAGCGTGGCATGTAGTCATGACTCATGACTTTCATGACATACATGTCATGATTTACACGTTAGGGTCTGTCACTTGTGTTCGCCATGCAGCCATGTCATACCGTACCAGTTTTGCAACATGTCATGTGAATGAAACCACCACAAGAGCAGCAAGACCATGATATGTATATCATAAGATTCGTGGCATACGTGTCATGATTTTCAAGTTATGACTAGTCAGTCATGCTCATCTTACCGTCATGATATGGCATACCAATTTTCGTATTGATACCATCATCGAAACGGCCAGGAAAGCTAAAAGTTGTAGGTGGATAGATAGATAGATAGATAGATAGATAGATAGATAGATAGATAGATAGATAGATAGATAGATAGATAGATAGATAGATAGATAGATAGATAGATAGATAGATAGATAGATAGACGGACGGACGGACGGACTGACAGACAAACGGATAGATAGATAGATAGATAGATAGATAGATAGATAGATAGATAGATAGATAGATAGATAGATAGATAGATGGACGGATAGATAGATAGATAGATAGATAGATAGATAGATAGATAGATAGATAGATAGATAGATAGATAGATAGATAGATAGATAGATAGATAGATAGATAGATAGATAGATAGATAGATAGATAGAATGAATGAAGGAATGAATGAAGCTTACGTGCAGAACAGAAGAAATTGTGTCACCTGCTTCGTGCAAAACAAAAGTGTATACCGTTGTGAAGCAATGGCTAAGAAGCTGGGCTGCCTTCTTCTCATTCTTCTCATTCTTATTCTTCTCATTTGAAAAACAAAACATTCCGCCATATCCACGAAGTGAATGATGATGAGTGAGCGAAGCTCCGGAGGTAAACTTGGTAAACCATGAATCCTCTGTACATTTTGCCCACTCGATTTTATTACATCGCTCCCCCTAGCGTACGTCGCCGCACTAAATCGAACGATTGCCTCCAACCAATGACACGCGCCATATGTGACATCATTCCTATTTTATAAGATCTCGCGTCTTTCATAAACTACAAGTACCGCTTTCTAGTTTATAACATCTTGCATCTTTTCATCATCAGCTACAAGTACCACCATCTAGTAAACACTACAAGAACTAAACGAGAGGTGGCTACATACAGGAGACGGTACCGCCATCTAGTGAACACTGCAAGAACTAAACTAGAGGTGGCTACATACAGTAAGGCCCCTGTATTTTTCAAAGGTAGCGCAAACTCCCTTCCCCGCGTTGTTTCCTCCTCGCCCGCCACTCTCAGCCGCCATGAAGGAGCGACTCACGCGGAGCGCGCCGCCGGACGGTTTCGTTTTGTCGCGCAGCGCGTTGAAGTAAGGCCCCTAGGGGCCTTACGTTGAAAAGTTAATATGAGTGCTCTTAGAGCTCGAGTTTGTACAGGAACAACAGAGCCCTACTGAAATTTGGGGCATGCATGCCTGCTTCCATAATGGGACGTGTGTAAACGATTCATCCATAAAATACCACAAACGTTTAGTGGGATGAAGGTAGATTTTATTGAGTGCGCAAATAAAATGGGGGAAGCATCGAATGATCACGAACGCTGCAAAACATTCCAGTAGAGCGACGACAGGGCGAAACAATTTCGCTATCAAATCAGATAGCCTCTACAGCATGCGAAGGAAAGAGAAAAAAAACTTAATCCGGAGCCGTCCACTACGGCGCGCCTCATCGCCCTGCTTTGCGTCGGCTCGTTAAATCTTGCACTCACTGAATCAGAGAAGAAAACACCCGCTTTGAACGTAGGTGACACAGCCGGGCGTGGCCAAACACAAAGAATACAAGAGGTGTCGTTCGCAGACGTATACAAATACACGATAAAATATTGAAACAATCATTGCGCACTTATAAGTAGAGGAACCTTTTCAATCACAGACATACACATCGTTGCATCGTGTATGTGTTGCAAGGCATCCATCTGGCAATGTACCGTCGGCTAAAGGTACCGTTGGTGCTCCAAATACTGTTCCAGAGGACGCGTCATATGCCAGGCCAGGTTTCAGCTGTATCTCATCTATCATCAAGGTTGCATGCCGTTCCTTTGGATCCATTTGCCCAACCTACAAAAAAGCAGGTGTTAACTAAAAACAGCTTCAAACTAGCGCAAACTAAATGTGCCAACAAATAAGAAGATTGGGGATTGCGAGAAATAAAGCATACCTTTAAACTCACAAAATAACTCACAAAATGGGCTGCCCACTGGTTCAGGGTCACGGTCTATTGTTGTTACTGTGTTGTCCGAGGAGGCAGCTGTAAGCATGAATTGCGTAAGTGCACAGTCTAAAGGCGCGAACATTTGTCATCACAGCGCAGTCAACTCACAAAATAAACTGCCCACTGGTTCAGCGTCCGGGGCCCTCCCCACTGACGTTTCTGGCTCATCCAAGGATGAGCCAGAAACTCTGTAAGCAACTCTGTAAGCAAGAGTTGTAAGCAAGAGTTGCTCAACTCTGTAAGCAAGAGTTGAGCAAGTACAGTGTAGGGGTGGTGATGTTTGCTGCCACAGTAAGACAGAATTGGATGCCGAATTAATCAGGTTCACAGGTCATAAAGATAAATGCAGCAACTATGCTATCTGCCAGTGATCCAAACACACTGTATTGTCATATAAACCCCAAAACATGATCGCATTCACAACACAAGAGAGGAATAGAAACTACAATGGGGCCTCACCTGGAACCGTTTCATTCCCCCTTTTGCGGGGTGGCTTGCGCTCTTTCGGAAGAGGCCGATGCGCAAATATAGAAGGAACCGCATTTGGCTTGAGTTTCTTGATCCCAGTTTGTGCCAGAATTGCTGGCTCAAACTGATCCATCGTGAAGTGTTTCTGAAAAATACCGACATCCTCTATCGCATTTTTGCAGTTTGGCTGATGTGATATTGCCGAAGCAAAATATTTTGCTTCTTACGTTAAAAATGCAAACAGCCACAAAAGCCAGATGATTTTCTTGCATTTAGTAGGTGCCTTTCTCTTTGTTAATCGAAAGTGTACAACTTCGCAAGTATGTTCGAAATTTGAACGAAAGTATCTATGCATTTCACAAATAAACAACTATACAACATTATATTTACCATACACTCTCTTATATTAGCTGTACACGCATGCACAAAATTCGGTCATGGAAGTGCGCAAAAGTGAGATAAATATGAAAGAATACAAACTGAGAACACAATAAAACAATAAACGCCGAAATTTTGCCTACAGGTAATCAAAGTTCGAGCGAAAAAAAAAGGAAAAACGATCAAAGACGTGGTTGATCTCTGGAGAAGCATAATTGATTCCGCTGCAAATGGTTCCATTTAGAAAGCAAATCGTGTACGCCAAACATTCAACAGTAATTATGTTGTGGCCGTATTCGAATATTCGAGCAAGCTAAAAACGATCGAGCTGTCATCGTGGTTGAAATCGTGCGAGAAAGCGTCGACGGAAAGTTCAAGCTGCTTTTGTTTAACATGAACCTGAACCAAGGATGAGCTTTATCTGAAAGCCTTCCGGAGGCATGTCTATGCGAAGAAGTTCTGTAGTGAGTGCTTACCTCGCAAAGCCTCCCTCGGTGACAATCGAAGTTTTTCCTGTCGATGCGATGCAGCCATACCGCTCTCCGCTCCTCATTATTTTTCCCTCGTGGAACCACAAAAAGCTTGTTGCCTTTTGCAATGCTGCTGGAGCAGCCAACGGCACAGCAGGCCGGCATTGCGCTGCATCCGAGGCCGCCTTGCTAAAGGCAACACACGTGGGAGCGAGATGCAGTGCGCTCACTCATGGCGTCGCTGCCCGGCGGAGCCGAACCTGACGAGGGGTTCATTGGTCACGTGTCGCGCCGGGTCTAATAGGGTAGCGGAAACGCATGCCGGAGTGAGGAGAGACGTAGAGGGCGGGGAGGAAATTCTCCTCCGCTTTTTGTAATATGGTTTGCGCTACCTTTGAAAAATACAGGGGCCTTAACATACAGGGGACGGTATCGCCATCTAGTGAACACTGCAAGAACTAAACTAGAGGTGGCTACATACAGGCTACAGGCGACGCACAGCCCACGCCCTAAGGAGCTTCGCCCCTAAAAGAAATAAGGTTCAAAAGCTGGTAGGTGGGGCCCCTAGCCTAGCGCTCCACTGGCCTCTGGAGTCCACCGCACCTGCTCGAGGAGCGCTACTTGACTTACGTTGGCTAGTAAGGTCTCCTGCTGCTCCGTCCTGAATTTTCGCGCCGAAATCTGAAGCGTGTTAATTTTGGGTGACCTTAACTCTCATTCCCATATAATTTGAGAAAGTTTAAGCAGTTCTCCGCACCACGGAGCCGGCGTATGCGGTTAGGTGGATTGTATCTCTTAAACCCAGGTGCAGGTATGCATTTGTGTGCAGGTGGCGCCACTCATACGCTTTTTATACACTTAGCCGAGAGGGGGTGGGGAATATCACTGTCGTTGTCGACGCTGGTGTTCGAAGATTTAGATGTTTTCGCGCAGCGGCGAAGAGGCGCTGCCCCGTTTGAACACGCGATCTAATGGCCTTCTCCTTCCCCCTTCTTCACCATCAACGAAAGCCCGCCGATTCACCGCCGCCGCTGCCGGGTTAGAGGCAAGCACACAGAATACCTGTACAGTACGATTTATAGAAGAGAAACTGTACCTTTGACAGTACAACGAAAATAAGGGTAGTGGTGGCGTTGTGAACTAACTTAACCGACCTAGAGACGGCACTGTAAGGCCTATCATGATCATTGCGCCAGGGAAATATGGCGACTGCTTTGGTACCGGGTGCGGGGGGTCGGGTTCGCGCCCACGGGTTTATGGGCGTTTATTCACTGCTATTGCGGGGTGGTATTCACGCTCACGGCACCGCAACGTTACTGTAAATACTTCCGCTGTGCCGCCAGGTTATAGAGAGGCCTTAACTGGCAAAAAGCACACCAAGCAAGTAAGCTTACATTGTTTATTGACAATTGTGAATGCAGCAGTACACATGTAAACAAGGAACACTGTCTCTCCTAGAGTTGAACAATACATGTAAAAAAAAACAGTGATAGCCATCTGTTTAATAAAATCACCCAATGAAATTGTGCAACTTTGTCTCTTGTCTCGTTCAGTCAGACAGCGATATTTACACTAGACATCCCTTGCACAGTACTTGGTACTGTGCTGCCCATTGTCTTTCTCACCACACATGCTCTCATAAAGTGCTGTGTCAGTACGTTAGCCTGAGCCGCAATATGATATTTGACAACGCATTGGCAAGAAGCACATCGCGCTGAATAAAAATAAATAATCCCACGCTCTTGTGCAAGCTATCCCACCATAAAACATTGTCCTCAATATTGTGTTTAGAATCTGTGTTCTCACCAGCGCGTCCGATCTTTTTACGACTAACTAGATCAACTTCCAGTTGTGGTAAGCGAGTTCATCCTGGGAAAACACGATTTACAGGATCGTGTTGCAAAAAAAAATAAAACTTGGTTTACGTTTCAAAAGAGGTAAAAAGGTTGCAGTGACAGGCACTTCATTTGAGTAACAGTTGGAAAGCCTGAGTCAAACATTTTAGCAAGTCAACATTCTTGGGCAAGTTGTCCCGGATGACAAGTTAAGAAAATTAGCTACCTTTGTCCTTGCTCGCCTACTGTAGATCAGCTGACACACGAGGTAGAGTATGGCTGTTGGTGCTCTCAAAAGCACTCATTCGTCAAAAAGAAATTATGCACCAGTGGACAGCGCTCGCAACACACTGCACATGACATATACGCATAAAATAGAGGACATATGGAACACTAGTAACACTAGACAGCTGAGAAGTTCTGGAAGTCACGGTACCAATGTTAGAAAAATAGGCAGTAAATAATCATTGCAGTCAAATCTGCATAGTTAATTTTTTACGATGTTTATTCACTTAGTAAGGGCCATTTTCTAATCTTTAAGTATTTGCACGTCAGGCTGAAGAGTTATGTGCACAGCACAATCTGCAACTTCTTAGCGAAAGTAATGAAGTGCTTGTTCTGGCTCAGTAGTTATCTGCTTGATGGGGAACGCAGACAACAATATTGGCGAATATTGTTGCTCCTGCCTGTTGTGGGGTGCACACTGTATTCACATTTTTTGCATGCAAAAGAATCACTAGCTTTTCCAATTTATGAGGAGTTGTCCACAGTTCATGAACCAAGTTTGAGGATTGAAACAAGTGTCGAAACACGGTGTTGAGACTTTAGAATTAGCTGCACAAATGTGTACGACAAAGAGTGGAGCAGCGCACCAAGCATTCATACCAACATAACTGTTCAAGTGGACAGAATATTGCAATAGATTGAGGACTAACAGTTACTGGTCTGTAATACAATGTTCCCCTTGTTGGCCTCGCTACGATTTCCGAAATTGTAGCCGATACGCCCAGATATCACAAAGCTAGGTTCCAAAAATGCTTACCGCTCAACTCAAACACTAAAGGACATCAAGAGGATGAGCGTTTTTAGACTGCTACCGATAAAACAGGGATGATTTGTTTCCGCACACTGTAACACAGGTGACGACGCTTCATAGTGTACGCAAGTGCAGAAACAACACAGTGGTGCCACCACTCCTTTTGACAAAAAGGAAAAAAAAATCAAGCAATTAGCTTACTCCAATTCGGAAACGAAGGCTACCATTTTCTAAGTCAAAAAGGAAAATTCCAGTGCTCAATTTCATAAATTGTGGGCCACACTTACAGCTGACATATACTCTGAAACACTCATTACAATAATAAGTACGATTAACATTGATGAAGTCACAAATCCTCATCCGGAATCGGCCTCCTACATGACAACATGCATCCTTGCACCACAATCAAAACCAATGGAAAGATGAAATAGCTTGGTAGGGAACACTAATTGCTCGCCCTACTGTCCTGAGCCAGCACCGTGTGACTATTTCCTCTTGTTTCATTCGAAACAGTGGCTCGGGGTACGATTTGAAGACGGTGAGAATTTCAAGATCACCGTTCGCAACAGGTTCAATTACCAAGCGGCGATCTTTTATTTAGATTGACTAAAGAATCTACTACGATGGTACGAGAAGCACCAAGAAGTTAGCAGTGATATTGTATAAAACTAAGTAGGTTTTTGCTAAACTAAGCTCACCAATAAAATCCTTTTTAATGAATATTTACTTAGAATCAATGGACTTAAATTTTTAATGAACTTCAAAGTTTTTATGGCTTGCAATAACAGATGAATAAATGAGATTTTTTTTGTGCAATTGGTGCATAGTCATCAAAAACACTGCTCAAACGATGGACAACGGCAGAAGCTGCATTCACATTTTTATTATTCACTACGCTCACCAATAAAGCCTTTTCTAATGAATATTTACTTGGAATCAATGACCCTTACTTTTTGAATGACCTTCAAAACTTTTTTTTCCGTTTATTATTCATTTCAAAAAAGTAGTACAGTAATATTAATATACAGACGAGGGTACCAAAGTTAAAAACTGTAACGGGACCCTCGATGCATTATAACAATCAATAAATCAGATCAAGTTAACAAGCAACGAGTGAATGGAAATCAATTATACAATATAGAGGGATAAGTAATTATTATAGGCTAAGTGACACATCAGGAACAAAAGGCCTTTTTTGCTTTGCATTGACAGATAAATAAATGAGGTTTTTTTTGTGCCAATGGCGCCTAGTCATCAAAGGCACTGCTCAAACAATAGACAACGGAAGAACCTGAATTCACATTTTTATTATTCACTACTTCTTTACTGTCTGCCTCGCTATTATCACGGGTATCATGCAAAACTAGCCCTTTTGGCTACATATTTCACAGCAATATCAAGGAAATAGCTGTTAGTATACATTCGAATAATCAACATGTACAAACACTGGCCAACTTTGATTATACCTACTGAGTGCACTCAGCCATTGCTCTGTTAAAGGTTAACATGCCTTTAAAATGCCTTGTCATAAGTCAGGTATTTTACATGGAATAAAAAATAACAGCAAAAGGTCGTTATTTGAACTCGGGTAAATAAAAGTGCAGAGCCCTGTGTATTTTTTGTTGGGGAAAATCTATCGACAATTTCAGCATATTGGTATCCACAACAGCTAATTCAGACTGGGAGCCCCTTGTTTTTGTTGCTGCTCGCACAAGTCTGTCCAGAGTGATCACAACATTTTGAAAGAACAAACCAAAATAAATTAATTAGAGGAGGAAAAGAACTGAGCAGCAGCATTTATCAGATGAGATATTGGATGCTGAACTGGAGTCCTTGGACAAGCTAGGAATGATAGTGATGGAGTCACAGTGGAATAAATGGAAGTGAATGGAAGTTACTGATTACTTTTCATTTTGATTACGTTAACTCTGTTATGTAAACGAAAATGTTTTGAAGCACAAATATTGGCGTACTGTCGCGGTTCAACGTAAGCAGATCATGGAGACGTTGAGTCCGAGAACCAACGGCGTGTGTTTTTCTGCAGGAGCCAAGAACAAAACACATAAACAAAAGCACGTCATCTTCTTCAGTGTCCCTTTTTACGAGGCTGTTGGCGTGCACGTCGTCTTCGTTCTCTGTCTATTTCGAGCGCGGCATTTGCCTCCCCTTAAAAGAGCATCGCCCCGATGCTATAGCTGAGCCCGTCATTCGCGCATAAAGTCACTTTGTACAAGCGACGGCGCTTCGCAGAGTCACTCGCTGACGTATGGCTTAATGCGCACTACGTGCAGAAG